AAGCTTATTTTATCTGGTAAAGGTACATCCAGTTCATCACAAATGGAAACTATAGCATCCTTAAGAGTGACACTATTAATGACATTGTTAGGGAAATACTTGGTAGACTGAAGCGAAAGCGAATCGTCGCAAACTACAAGCTCCCATATCTTTTTCCCTATGATATCAAGACTTGGCCTAGAGCAAAAATCCACTTGCCACTCATTGAAGCTCTGAGGATCAGCTTCTGGATCAAGATAGCTCAATTTTGCAATTGGGTCATCATCTTCTTCATCAAAAATAGTTTCATCTGGTTCAGCTTCCATTGGGGATTAAGAAACTGAGCTTTCAGAGACTAAAAAACGTGCGGGAAAATGGGAATTTTTATTCTTGGGTTGCTGGGTTTCTTTGTGAAGAACTGAAATAGGTGATTAAGTTGGATTTTTTTGGTTGGGGAAGTGACATTGTTAATAGGTTTTGATTCTTGTGGTGTTGAAGCTTAGACTAGCCATGCGAAGAGTGGTGGCGATACGAAAGTAATCAAGAAAATGTCTTCGGGTTTTCTTATGGATCTGTTAAAGTAGTTATCCACCACATGAATAGGAATGTATAGTTTTTTTTTTTTAAATGGAATTGAAGATTCATTCATCATAACGAAGTTACAAATGTGACTTATCAATACAGGAAAACCAGACTATAAGCCAACCTAGGCAATCAGCTCTGGAGCACCCCCGCACACAAAGTGGCGGACATTGTCTTAACTTCTAAATCTCTCCGAAGAGAGAGAGAGAGGGAGAGCACTCTAAACAAATAGAGTCACGTGGTTGCTATGGACTCTAAGTCCAAAAGCCAATTACAACACAAATACAAACAAAATAACAAAATCTACAACACAAAACAACAACAAAATAGAAGGACCACAAGCACGGGCAAAAAGCCCCGACGGAACACCCATTGCAGGCATCAGCAACGCAAACCCAGACGACATGAGTACCCGGCTCACGTACAGAACACCACAACCTCCACAGCGGAGTCCAGCCGTATGGCCCCGGGCCTATACTTCGTCCGCCACTCTCAACCTGCACTTGCCCCAGAGTGCGATTGATCAAAAGCCTCTTCACCTTACTCAGGTCAAAACAAAGGTCTGAAAAGAACAAACCAAACACATCTCCGGAGATCGGAGCGACAAAACATAAAACGAAGTGGCTGAGGCGCTTGGAAAAACAAAGACCACATAGGAGGAAAGCCAACGGTCAGTCGTTGAAGACCCTGCCGCCACTCGCGACGAGGTTCGAGAATACGTCCGGTAGGCTTGAAGATCGACGACTGGCCAATGTCTTGGTGGTGCCCGTGTAAGCGGTCGACATTTGGACGGACCCAGGCTATACTCCTCCCTATATTCGCCTGTAAAACAAAACTAAACACAGACAACACAAAACAAAAAGAACTAGAGGGGGAAGGAAAGGGAAGGGGGAGAGAGAACTTTGAAAATATTCTTTATTTTTGAAGAAAACCGTTTA